TTTGATCTATATGAATTATTGAATGTTTTCATTATATTAGAAAGAAGCCCAATATGCAATTTCTTTACTATAAAATTGAAAGATAAAAGAATTTGTTACGTGAAAATCAGACTGGTCATATTCTTATCTATACCATTCTGTCTATCTTAAGATCTTTGTTTGTCTAAGAATCTCTTTGTTAACATATTCAAGAAAGCATTATCAAAGTCAAATTTCAAAATGGGAAATTCAAGTTTTCTGCATTGTGTGATAATTGAAAGAAATAAATAAATAAAAAAAGATATAAAATAAACCTACATTGATTTAACTCACTATGTAACAACAGCATGCTTGATATTAGCAATGATTTTTTTGCTTTATCTGTAAGCTTGACATTTTGATTATTTCTGAAATCAATTTATCAATTGCATCGATAAATTTTTTTCTCATTTTTTATTATCTAGAAAAATATATTAATCAATAACATATTTGAAATATTATAATAAAATAAATCATTAATCAACCTTTTTTACTTCATTAAAAAAATAGATAGCAACATCTGATTCAACTAATTTCACATCCTTTTCAAAACTTTCTATCATTTCATTTCAGTTGTTTGTTGAAAAAAAGTATTTTATTAAGAAGATCAAAAATACTCTGATATAGACTTATAAATAAACTGTACTGTACAAAAGTATTTTATTTATCAACAATAAAATATGATTGGTCATTATCATTTTCATATAGTATAGTTTAGCTAACTGTACAGTATAGTTTATATATATACTATAATAAACTCACTTCAAACATCTTTGAGCATCAAAAATCACATCAGCATATCTTGCTAATTTATTTCTAATGTTAGTACTATTATAAAGGACCTATGATCAATAATATATTATTATTGATTTAGTTTTTATACATTCTACGAAGATGTTTTATAATTTCTTTTATACATAAAAAATTTGTCAATTTGCTCGTATTTGCTGATAATGCATCCTGTAATAAAAAATTACCTAACCTTTTTAAACATATTCATCAAAAAGTCTTTTAATTTGTTTTTGAAGTATTAAAAGTTGGTACCAATTCTTCCTGACATTCAATGTTAGGGTATTTTTCGCTAGTATTAACTCTTGCCATTTCCGTAGAATTGTTACTAAAAGGAAGGAGAGTATTTGATTATTCTTTAAGCAACTTAATAACTTAGTTTGATTAGTTGCTGATTGCAATATTTAGCATATCTAACGCAGAAGATTGTATTTGGTTTTTTATAGTCAATTGTTCAGTTAAAACTATTTATATTAATAACTAGTATGAAAATTCTATTAAAAATATTTAAACTCATATTTCATATTTATTTTGCTTTCAATATTCTTTCTTATTTGATATAATTCTAATACTTTAATATTTCTCATTTATAAAAAAGTGAATCTTTCATTATATTACTTCAATTCCAAATAAACGACATTTTCTACATGAAATTTTAAAAGTATTTGAATATATAGCACTGAAGGCATTACTTAACTTTAAGAGTAAAAGGTATTATCTTCTTATTAGTAATGCAATATAAGCAAACTTATAAAATTCTGTAAGAGGTATTACCTAACAACCTCTAGCAAAGGACGTTACTTTCTAGAAACTTTACAGATTTTGATATTGATACAAAAAAATAAAAAAAATACTTTACAACCTCATTTATGAGAAAAGTAGCTATCCTTCTTCTTTCTTAATCTTTGCATTTTTCAAAAGTCCTCAATGTAGCCAAGAAATTTCTCTTTAAAGATTTTAATAAAGTTATTAAAGTATAAATGTAGAAATACAGTTTAATTGCCTTAAAGTATCTAATATAAGATAAAATAATACATAAAAGATATGGGTTCTTTGCAATAGAAAGGAAGGAAACTACCAAAAAATTTTTTTTGAGTTAATGTTAATTCTGAACTTATTTTATTAAAAAAAAAATAATATTTAGCTTATAAAGCAAAAAAAATTTTTTTTTGATAATTTCTTCTCTTTCTATTGCAAAGAGCCTATATATCTTTACATTACATAAGCATAGTTAAAAATTCACTTATTGGTTAAATTTCACGTGATGATCAACATTTATTAATCAATAAGAAAACTTTATTTTTTATTATAATACATTAAATATTAATATTAAAGATATTTGATAGATTAATATTTTGTAATATTCAATGTGAAATTGTAAAAAGAGTTTGATTAGAAAACTCTAAAAATATTAATTATTAGTAAAAATTTTACCAAAGTTTTTTTACTAATAACATAATATTTTTAATATACCTAAAATTCTTTTTTATAATTCAAAATCAATTTTAATTTTTGATTTATAACTTTAAATTCTTTATTATTTTTATCTATCTTTTATTGTTATCTAATTCTAATTGAACTTCTTCTTAGTGCAATTTTTGAATTATGATTTTACTAATTCATCAATAGATTTATTTAAATATTTGTAATAATATTCACAATTTAAACCTAATATCTGAAAATAATCTTCATAATATATGTGACTGTATATTAAAACTTTACTATTCTTATTTGTTGATAAATTTTTACAAAATTTTTTATCACAAAATTTTTTCATATTTGAAGATATAGGTAAATGGTATTCAAATAGTAAAACATTAAAAAAAAAATTTGTAAGAATAGATGCAAAATAATAATAAAGTTTTTTTGTTCTTTTTTCTTCCATTTTTTTTTACTTTATCATTATTTTCCAAATATCATCAAAAAAATTCAAACAAAGAGCAATTCTTTTAATAATTTCATTTAAGTCCTTTTTTTATATGGATAATCTTATTTTAAAATAAATGATGTAGCAAACAAATTTTTATTTTAAAAGTTATTAATAAAAAGAACATTACGCCTAAGAGATTTATTTGAAGAAACTTTTGCTACAATATGTTTTCGTAAAAGATTATGAAAATATTTAATAATATATTCATCAAACAAATTTAAATTATTTTTCAAAATTTCAATAATAAGATGATTAATGAATTTTCAATAATGATACCTATATAAATTATTTTTATCATGATTAAACTTTTATTAAATTTTGTGTTTGACTAAATAGTTTAAAACTTTAACTAAATTTTTAATAAATAATTAAATAACTAAATTGCTTTATAATATATAAATTATAAATTTTTATTTATTATCTTTATTAAAGAATATATAGCAGGAAGATGAGCAGATCTCATTACTTTCACCTAGGATCCCAGGAAAGATAGTTATTAATATTTGTATTCTAGCTTCCTCCTAATACTAAAATAAATACTTTCATTATTCTAGAGCTTTCAAAATATAGTTTTAATATATTAATAAAATTTATATTCTTAGAACGTACTCTAACTTCTCTCACTCAATAAAGTTACTAATTTGTTTTCTTGCCTTTATGCACCTTCCTGATTATTATCTTAACATAATAAAAATTTACACCTAGTAGAAGGTATTTGCAGACTAAGTTATTTTCGCTTAAGAACTTTAAGAATGATAGTTGATACACCTGCATTAGCTCTTGTTCATATATGATCCGGAATGTGCTCATGTAATCCTCTACCTTTCAAATTCCTTTCAACAAATCAAGAAGAATGGAATTCCGTATATGCCAATTATCTTTTTTCTCCATTATCCTATCATTGTAACTATGTATCGTTAATCTGTTTACTAGCTCTTTATCAGAACATTTCTTTGTATCATTTCGCATGCGTTTATAGTAAGAAATACCTAAATTTATAATAAACTGATTGTCAAAATGTTTTTGAATTAATTCGTCATCCACAATCTTTGGATTGAATATCCTATTACGTGATATCGCTGGCATCAGACATGGGTTTGCTAAGATTGTTGCTATATGTGCTGCCCAAGAAGTCTCAGTTGTATCAGATCACTGTTGAACATGTATATTATGATAGTCATTGACATTTTGTACAAAACATTTTCCGAATTGTATCTAAGAGCATTTTTCACATATTCTTTATGTGCATCAGACATTATTTTCTTCTTCTGATCTACTGCCCTTGATGTTGTAGTCACCCTGAGATTCGCTATGGTATTCAAACCTTCGTTACTTGTCCCTGCTAAATCTAGATAATAAGCTAGATTAAACTTGAAAGAAGTTATTTTTGTGTTATTTAACGAGAAAAGAAGATAACAAATGAATAACATGATTTTTTTCATACAATCTATCATTTGATTGTTACATTCAGAAGGCCGAGCCGCTATATAAAGTTGTTCAAAAAAATCTTTCAAAGCAAGTTCGTTTTCTTCTATTAATTCTCACATTTTATCAAATTCGTAAATAGGTTTCTCATTCCGCACATATTCTCTTTCGTATAGAACTTTTGCTATCATTCTGATAACTTCAAAAAGCATAAGCTTTGCACTAGACATACTTACCTCTTCTTCTTCTGTAACTTTTTCTGTTTAGTACCTCTTCTCAAAGGATTTTTCACAAGATTCATATAGCAAGTATTACACAAAATAACATCTTCCTTCCAGCTTTCCTTTGTTAGACCTTTACTCTCAGCTTCTCTCCACTTCTCTCCTTTTAATGGACGAAATCTACTCAATTCAGTGGCTTGGCATTAGTTGCAATTCCTATTTTCAGACATATTGAAGGTCGTTGGATTCAAATAAATTCAAATGGATTCACTTGAAATTGTTAATCTATAGCGTCAAAAGTTTAAGGAATGCTTAGCATCTGTACACTTTTCATAAGATGAATAGGCTACACAAGCTTCTTGAAAAAGTATTGTAAAACGTATAAAAATTGATCTACTGAATTGTGTAACATACTTTCCTTATTTGGGGTACGGTCACCCCTGGACTATGCTTATCTAACCCCTAGATATTATGTAATATTGATGTAAATTTATACTCACGTGTATGATTTTTCGTGATTCATCATGTGATCATGACTATAATTATATGACAATCAATTTTATCATACGTTACCACTTAATCAGGTATGTTGAGTAATTTTCTTCTCTTAATGAAAGATGGTTTCTGTTAAGCAAAAAGGAAGCGCCTGCGACAGAGGGAGACTGTCGGAAGCCAGCAATAGCGAGTCACTGTGTAGGGGTGGCCGGCTGACTTTATTGTACAGAAGTTACTGGGTTGTTAAGCAGATAAGGTGCCTGCGACAGAGGGAGACTGTCGGAAGCCAGCAATGGCGAGTCACCGTGCAGGGGTGGCCGGCTGACTTTATTGCACAGAAGTTACTGGGTTATTAAGCAGATAAGGCGCCTGCGACAGAGGGAGACTGTCGGAAGCCAGCAATGGCGAGTCATTGTACAGGGGTGGCCGGCTTTATTTGAAGAACAACTTACTTTAACATTATCTTATTGCATTTTTTTCGACAAGAAATTAATTTTTTTATTCGTTAGCAAAATGGGAAAAAGATCTTCACATACCAATATATCTCTACAAGAACGTAATATTAACTGGATGTTAACTTGCTCTGATCCAACCTGCTTGCATTTTTTAACACGTATTTTCAACACATCGCGGCCAAGCAACTGCAAAATATCGTAAAATACTCAATCTGGCTTTGAAAGAATCACATGATTCTGAAGTGTTGAGTAAGCTCAGAAGAATGAAAAGGACGGCGGATGTATGTAATTGAATAGGATTCTTATATTATACCGTAAAAAACTTCTAACTCTGTTCTTTTCTGATAGGAAGCAAGGTTACTACTTGACTGGGAGACATGGATGCAACAGAAGGCAGTGGTATGTTCAGTTGCTGACTTTTAGATATTTTGATTTAACATTGACAAAAAATCTTATACAGATTTTAGTTTGCCGTTCTGTTCGTAATACAAATCTTCACATCCATGAGGAAATAAATTCTTTTGCGCAAAATAAGGTAAGTCATACTCTCTATAAACAATTAAAATTTGCAGTTGCTTATTCATTTTGTATCATTTTGTAGACTTCTCAATTTTTTTCTAAAAGCGGTAAATATGAAGTCATATTATTTTTTTTAACTATCTAATCTAAAATTTTTATCTGAGCACAAACTTACTAAATTGTACTTTAGAGAACTCAAGAAAGAGAAAAATTGGTGATCAATCAGGTGGCGAATTTCATGATGATTATGAAAGTGAAAGTGACGCTTTGTCCAATATACATAGATATCAATAAAAATAATTAAGATGTGTTATTATTTACTACCGATTCACTTATTCACTTAATGATATTCCTATATCTATTATGTAGGGTTCAGATGAAGAGTCTGAAGATGATGATATTGAAGATAATAGTGAAGTTCATGGAAATAAAAATGGTGGTGAAAGCGAAGATGTTGAAGAGGATAATCGTGTTAAAATTGACAAGAATGAATTCGTCCAGGTGTTTGAGAAAATACCAGAATCATCAAAATTAAAATTATTAAGTTCTGGAAAAGTAGTCAAAAATGTACTTTTTAATTATATAAAGGATAATGATTGCAAACAGTTAAATATTCTTAACATTTGATTGCTTTTCTATAATTCATAATACTAATACTATATATATTTTAGTCTCGCCTATTCCTTTATAATAGATTGTGATGATCAAAAGATCAAAGAATTATTCAATGACGAAGAATGGATGGAATTAACCAAAGACCATTTAGGCATCTCCAGGTTCCATATTGCTAGCGAAATTGCAAAGTATGGGAATAAAACCTTGAAACAACTACGTGAAGTCGTAATGAAATCTTATCTTCCAAGTAATGTTTCTTATGATAATTATCAACACAGCGATTTAGAATGGATCCAGATAGCGATAAGAATCATTGTACATTTATATGAGAACGATGATTCCCTTTACAACGAAATCATTATGAATATTGGTACACTATTGTGTTTTTTGGAACATATATAGATATACTATTTCGAGATTCAAAACTGGAAACAGATGTGAAAAGGTTTTCTTTTATTATTCTTGATTATTTGTATAAGTTAACATAATCTCATAATTTTTTTGTAGATCAGAGGCACCATCATATGCGAGTTCTAATCAGAAAATCATAATAAAAGAACAAAGAGAAAATTAAGCGGAAGGAAGATTGACAGAATCATTTATTTAATAGAAGAATTGCACGAAATTGGTGTCATTGAAGGGGCGAGATCCTATGCAGGAATACACGATAAAAAATATCTTTCCGAATATTTTAAATTACCTAAATCTCTCCGAGACATGCTAGCAGATTTAATAAGAGCTCTTAACTATGATGATAATAAAAACTAAAATTCAAGTTTTTGGAATAATCCATCTTGGTTGAGAGTAGACTTTGGAGAGCAGGAGGATCAATAACTATTTTCAAAAAAGATCTTCCATTGTACGAATTGCCACATAACTTTTCTATTGATAAATTTAAGCATATTTTAAAATTTCTGGTATCGATATATCAGTATAAGGTAAAAAAAAAATACTTTACATTATCATATAATATTATTTCTAATCATTTATAACTTTATTTAATACAGACAATATTAAAGAATAATATACAAGTTCTACGTGAGGAGGAAGATCCTGAGGAAGATCTCGAGGAAGATCAGAAAGAACAAAATATCTTAAATGAACTACTAAATGTTGGTCAGCAACAAGTACCACCTTCAAATACTAATGTTAATTATTTTGCAGATTGTTTTAGGATTCCAAGAAAGCCAAGACAGAAAAAGGGAGAGAGTAAATGAATATAAACTAAAATATAGAAAAATGCCTATATTTTTTATATTACATGGATATTTTTATATAAATAAATTAACACTTATGAAAATGTGACAAGTTATGCATCGCTTTATCTAATCATGACCAAGCAACTCTTTGGGAAGCATGCCATTTTTAGCCTTACATGCTGTTTTTTTCTTCATGATAGTCATGGGGATTATTACCATGTGTTTCAGTACTTATCTCTTGAAGAAATCTCCGATGTTTCTCCACAGAAATTAAAACATTTATTAATGTGGAGATCACCAAAATTAAGAATGAATACTAAAATCACAGATAAACTCTCTGCACGTGGTACTAAGATCGCCAATGAATTCATCACACGCTTATCCAAAATATTTCTTTCATTGCGAAGCTTGGTAGAATTAATATCGAACTTAATGTTAAACTTATCACAGAAATCAAAAAAATCAATTCACGTGATTCTGGATATGTCTCTGAGACGCAGAAAATCTTTTTAATGATCAATAATATGCGATTGCCTAAGTCAATTTTGATCAGCTGATTGTGAATAACCAATCTGAAGCTTCAGAACCGATCACGTGAAAGCGGTAATTCTGCTATCAGCTCTTCACTTGAGGGAAATAGGAATAATTTTAAGCAAGTTTTTGATTTAAGTAATGTGCTTGAAACTGTGAGACGTGAAATTCGTGATCTTACTGGAAAAAGATTAGGAAGGATACTATAAAAAACTTTTATTATGGTCTTGGTGATCCAAAGTATAGTACACTTAATGATGGATAGATAGTAAAGAAAATATTAGTAGTTTAGATAATGCGGAGTAGTGAAAAGGAACTGCCATCATATGGGTTAGGACTTGGCGGAAAGCATGATATTATTTCAATTCATGCTTTATTCTTACCTTTAAACGCGATCTACTCCAATATCTTTTATTAGTTTCATTTTTTACTTAGCCGACCGGCCCTTTCTCATATATTATTTTACAAAAATATAATAAAGATTTTACTTTGAATTTTTTAAACGTATTGTGTATTTTACAAGTGATATTTATTAATTACATTTGCTTTATAATCTATCGCGTCGTACTTATAGATCAAGAGAGATGAAATCTGATTGGCCGATCATCTCATGATTTATAGAAACTAGCGCTCATAGGCAGACTTTCCTATGATTTGCTATTGTAGATCAATTAAATTTGGTATTATTTATACAGTTTAAAGTACCTTTTCAGAAAATGGTGTTACATTTAGTAAAAAAAA